GCGCCCCGCGCCGCCAATTGGGGCCGGGCCGACCGCGGCGGGGGAGGGGGGGGGGGGGTGGGACCAATTGGAGGGGGGCGGGGGCCTGGCCCCCCCCCCCCACTCCGCATCGTCCTCGGGCTGCTGAGCTAGGCCCAAGTTGGACGCTGGGGTCTGCGCTGTGGTGTCCCCTCTGGGGACCCCCACCAGACCAGTGGGCCCAGGTCATCATGAGGTCCAGTGGGAGTCCTAGTAGCGGCCAACCTTGGCATCCCCAATGGCACCCCAGACGTCAAAGACGAACTCGTCTGGGAAGGCAAAGTCACCGAGCCGTTCATCCAGGGCCTCGGCCAGCTCATCTGGGTTCCTTTTGTCTTTTCCCAGCTCCACCATGGTAGCCGCTGTCAGAGGGGAGGGTGGAGAAGGGAGGCACAGATGGCACTAGCAGCAAAGGGGTTCAGGGGAGACCCAGTCCCCATGGGACCTAGAATCCCCTCTCCCCCCACCCATCCCAGACCCAGGCGCCCCCCCGACTTACCCAACTCCGTGTCCCTGATGCCCATGTAACTCTCCAGCAGGTCATCTACCTTCTCAATCGCCTTCTCCTCAAAGGCTGAGGGCTGGGGTGGCAGGGACGGGACAGTGACATAATGATATGACTATAATTGTACTTATTAAGTGCCAGGTGCCCTTTTCACCACATCACATATATTTTATCTGTATTTAATCTTTATAGCAACCATGAGAGGATAGCATCAGTATTTGGTATTAACCCCATTTTACAGATGGGGAAACTGAGGCCCACTTGCCCAAGGAGTCCAGAGCTGGGAGCCAGCAGAAGTGGATTTGAATTCAGGCAGTCTGTGCAGAGCCCCTCAGCCAACAGGTAATGCTGCCACCTACGAAGTGGAGCTGAGTTGGGCTCCCACGGGAACACTCACCAGATCCTCCACTGTGGCAGGGCCCCGGGATCGGAGCCGGAGGGTCCCTCGGCCAGTGCCCAGTTGTGGGCCGGAGCCAGGGCGTCCACTCCCGGAACGCTGGCTGATCATGTCTGTGGGAGGAAAGGAAGGGGTAAGAGTGGGGAAGCTCGACTGCAGCATGCTCTGGGCAGTAACCCAGGCATCCCGGCCTTTGACAGGGCCCTGCCAACCTTCTCCAATCTTCTGCAAGCTCCTGGGGATTAGGGGCTGAGGTGACCCCAGCAGGGCATGACTCCTGACTCGGACGTGGCAAGGATGTGGGAGGGGCAGCTAGGGGCCAGGAATAGAAAAAGCTGGAGGAGAGACTGGAGGGGGCCACTTCTGCTCCTAGGGGCTGAGGGACAAGGAGAGGGTGGGGCCTGGGTCTCCAGCTGCTTTCCTAATGGCCAAGGGGGTATAGCTGCTGGGCCACAGACCAGCGCTACCTGCCCAGGGAAGGGATTTAGTCCACCACCCCCACGACAAGGGACCTCAGGCCCATTCCTGAGAGATAGTGAAGCCAGATGGAGAAGTGGAAGGGCTAGAACAGGGCAGCCAAGCCTGGCTTGCCAGGGCTGGGGGACTGGCCAGGGTTGGGGGCGCTTGGCTGGGCTAATAGCTCCTGGAAGCTGGGTGTGGGGGCAACTTCCTCCATGCCTCGGCCCTTCTCCCAGGCTGGGCCAAGAGCCAGCACCCCCTCCTGGCGCGGGGCGGAGCTGCCCCCTTCAGCTGCAGCGGGCTGGGCTTGGGCGCCACCTGCTGGTAGCTCCTGGTACCACAGCAGGAACGCACATGAGCAGGGCCACTATGGTGGTCCAGGCAGCAGCCCCTCACCAAAGGCCTTGCGAGGTTCCGTGAGCTTCAGCGTGAAGGTGCGGCCTCGGGGCAGTTCCTTGAGCAGACGGGCCACCTCGTAGTGCCGGCAGCCCAACAGGCTCTGCCCATTGATGGCCTCAATCATGTCGCCCACGCTGATGAGTTGGATGTGGTCGATCACGCTGCCCTCCTTGATGCGCTGTGGGGAAGGAGTTGTCGGCTCCCACGGCCCCGCCCTGGATCCCATGGACCACCCTTGGCCCGCCCCAGTACTCCAGAGTGCCCCGCCCACCCCAGCACCTTAATGAAGGCATAGCCGGCTCCATTGTCAGTGATGGTGAGCCCCAGCGCGTCCTCTGACTTGAACACTTCCACCTCCTTGCGCTGCCCCTTGATGTGGGCGAAGATAAAGTCCTCCAGCCCTATCTGGCCCCCCAGAAGCTTGTCCATGTCCACTTTGTGGGTGTTGAGGGTGCAGAACATCACCTGCAGGGGTGGGAGACATTCAACCCTCATCTCCCTCCGCTAACCACCACCTGAGGGGGAAGGAAGGAGAGCCGGGAAAGGGCTGGAGGGTCTTCATCCTCCTAGCGTGTCAGCTCTGCTAGGACTAAGATTTCTATCCCAGCAAAATTTCACTGTTGTTTCCAGGGAACAGAGCCTGGCACACAGAGGATGCTCAGTAAATGCTTATGCTGGGCACAGGCTCTCACCCCACATACTGAGACGCCTGCATCGACCTCCCACCCAGTCCCACTGCTGTCCCCCTTGCCTCCCTCCCTTCTGCCCCCACAGTCCTTGGGGTCAGGTCTCCCAGTGCATCATGGAGAAGAGCATCTTGCACCTAACCTCCAGCTCCCACAATCTGCTGGGGTGCAGGCCTCCCAGTACCTGATGGGAACTCAGTGTCCAGCCCTGACCATTGGCCCCCCCCAATCCACTGGGGTTCAGGCCTCCCAGTGCCTGATGGGAAATCAGCTTCCAGCCCTGACCATCGGCTTCCCACAATCTGCTGGGGTGCAGGCCTCCCACAGCCTGATGGGAACTCAGCATCCAGCCCTGGCCATTGGCTCCCCACAATCCACTGGGGTCCAGGCTTCAGCACCTGCAGCTTCAGCATCTGAGCCCCAGCTCTGCACAGAATGCTGCCCAGGCCTCTAGCCCACCATCAGGGACCCTGGCGCTCAGCTCCCCAGTGGGTACCTCAGCAGCAGGCAGGTGAAAGGCCTCAGCAATCTTGCCATACAGCTCCTTGACGTTGGTGAAGCCCTCAATGCGGCCTGTGGGACTGCCGTGGGCCAGCTGGGTGTGGAACACAAGGCGGGGCCGCAGGGCCGGGGGAGGGGGGGGCAAGCCCATTTGGGGCCCACCTGCCCCACCTCCGCCCAGGGGCCCTGGCTCTCCCACACCCAGCCCACCCCGGCCTGGCTCAGCCTCCTCATTTTCCACCAGAGGCGGCGCCTTTTTCCGCCGCCCCAGTCCCAGCGGCATGAGCAGCGAGAAGTGCGGGCACGCCCAGGAGATCTGCAGGGCAGGAAGGGGGGATCAGGGCCTGGGCAGTGGCCTTGGGGCTCCTCCGCCACCACTAGCACCAGACAAGCCCAATGAAGTCTTTATTATTAATTTTTTGGCGGCTGGCCAGTTCAGGGATCTGAACTCTTAACCTCTGACACAGTCTTTAGAGAACAGACTGGCCTGGGTTCAAATCATTATCTTTTTTTTTTTTTAAAAAGATGACCGGTAAGGGGATCTTAACCCTTGACTTGGTGTTGTCAGCACCACACTCACCCAGTGAGCGAACCAGCCATCCCTATATGGGATCCGAACCCGTGGCCTTGGTGTTATCAGCACCACACTCTCCCGAGTGAGTCACAGGCTGGCCCTCAAATCCTTATCTTAATACACACTTGTACAGAAGCAATAACAGCTGTTAATATCGATGACAACCCATGCTAACAGCTCTGTGACTTTCCATAATCCTCACAGCACATCATAATGTAGGGACCATATCACGCTATAATTGTGCCCATTTAACAGATGAGAAAATGGAGGCCCAAAGCAGTTAAGCTTCTCTTTATTCTTCTATAGGATGCAGTCATTAATGCCGTGTGCAAAAAATTTCTGACTCTTCCCCCTTCGAAGCACAGAGGGATGGCACTTACTGACCCCCTGTGACTGAGCAGGCATATGCCTAGTCTTGCTAATGAGTTGTGAGAGGAAGCCACACAGCCACACGTGACCTTTCTGGGCTGAAGCATCTAATTGCTGGAGAGCCCTACTTCTCTCAGGCAGGGTGAAGGGCCACATTTGATATGGTGGTGGCTCTGTCAGGCGAGGCCCTGAGCCTGGAGCCTCCTGCTGAGCTGCAATAGAAACGCAGCAGGAATTAAAAACAAACCTTTGTTGTTTCAGATCCCCGCACCAGCCAGCCGCAAAAAATAATAAATAAATAAATAATAAATAATAAAAACAAACCTTTGTTGAATTCAGCCAACAAACTGAGTTGTTATTGCGGCAAAGCCTGCTCTGATGGACATACTATTTCTCTTTCCTTTCCCTCCCTCCGTTTCTTTGTCTCTCTCTTTCTCCCTCCCTCCCTTCCTTCAAACATTTTTTTGGGGTACATACTATATTCCATGCACCATTTTAGATACCGCTTTCAATAAGACAATCAAGGTCCATGACTAGGGCTACCATGTACAGTTACACAGGTTGTTCACCACACAAATGCACCAGACCAAGGTGGCAAGTGGGAATGAAATTCAGCCTGGCTCTGCCTGCCAAGCTACATTCCTGCAGTGGTGATGTGAAGTGTCTGCTGGGAGGAAGGGTTCCTCTTTCTAATTCACTCGCATGTGCTATCTAGTCTAGCTGGGACCCCGTCTGTGCTCTCTAGAAGCGTACACAGTCTACAGGGGCAGATGCACAGCAGGCAGGTAAATATGTAAATATTTGACATAATTTCTGATGGTACTCTGATGACAATAAAGCCAGACAAATTCTACAGACAAGGCCAAGAAGGGCATCTCTGACACCTGAATGACAGGAGGAAGCATTCACGCAAGTATCTGGGACAAGAACATTCTGGGCAGAGGAAACAGCCAGTACAAAGGCCCTGCCTGGCTGGTTGTTAGCTCAATTGATTAGAAAGCATTGTTGTTAACACCAAGGTCAAGGGTTCGGATCCCTGTGCTGGCCAGCAAAAAAAAAAAAAAAAAAGCCATGAAGTGGCGACATGCTCAGCACGTTTGAGAAACAGTGAGGAGATCCATGTGAGTCGTGGGGGGACAGGGAGGTGATGAGGGTAGAGCATGCAGGGCTTTTGGACCTTGGAGAGGAGTTGGCTTTTACTGAGTGAGATGGGAGCCATGGAGGGTTCTGGGCAGAGGAGGGATGTGCCCTGAGTCAGGCTCACAGATCGGCTAGGAGACCAGTATGGCTACAGCGGAGTGAACGAGGGGGAAACACGAAGAGGGGAGGGACAGAGGTAATGGGGATCGATGGTGCAGGGCCTCATCAACTGTGGAAGAGTTCCGATTTCATTTTCAAGTCATACATTCAAAGTCAGGGAGGCCAGATGCACCCCTGGGTCTGCCTGACTCCCCAGCCCAAGTTCCTAACCACGGAGCTGTCCCCTGAGCGACGTGACCTCCCTGGGCATCAGGTGAGTGGTCTGCAAATGGGGCAAATATATCCACCTCGCCAGGGTGTGGTGAGGATCAGATTACATGTCAAATCATATTTTCCTGTGTAAAGGGCAACTTCCTGCTCCCTCCTTTCAGATCATCTCTTCCGGGGGGCCATTCCAGATTCAGCTGAGTCCACTTGGCTGCACCAGTCTGTGTGGATCCATTTGTTCATGCATTCATTCACTCACCTGTCTTTTTTTTTTTTGGTGGCTGGCAGGTATGGGGAACCAAACCCTTGATCTTGGTGTTACAAGGCTGCACTCTAACCAACCAAGCTAAACGACCAGCCCTCATCTGTCTTCTAACACCTCCTTTGACATCTCCTGGCCCAGCCCCATCATCACTCACCTAGATGAGTGCAGCTGCCTCCTCCGGGTCAGCTGGCTTCCACCCTCACCCCCGACAGCTTCTTGTCAAGAAAGTAGCCAGAATGACCCTATAAAACATTAAGTCACTGTGCATCTGTCTTCTGCTCTGACCTTCCCTCCCCAGGTTCTCATCTCACTCAGAATAAGAGCTGATGGCCACACACCCTCCCAAAGGACCTACCTGTGTCACCTTCCTGCCCCTCGCCTCCTACACTCTCCCCCTCACTCACTCCTTCCTCACTGTGGCTCCACCATGTGACTCACTCCTTCGCCTTTTCCAGGTGGAATATACATTTTATTCATTTACCTTGTCAATGGTCTGTTTTCTGAGACAGCAGGGAATTTTGTCTGACTTAGTCATCCCTACATCCTTAGTGCATAGAACAGTGCCTGGTGCACAGCAGGTGCTCAACAAATATTTGTTGAATGAATGAATGGATAAATAAATAATCCCAGTACTCACCAGACCACCAGTCCCTGTGCCCAGCTCTGCTGTGACAATGGGGCACAGTTTGTAATGCCTGCCCTTAAGAGGGTCTTGTCTCCCCAGCAAAAGCACAAGCCCCACCTCTGTGGTCCCCTTATCCTTTGCTTCTCAGCCTAGTGCTGGGCACGTGACAGGTGCTTCATCTAGCCGCGAAGGCAAGGAAAGCATCCCCATGACATTCCACTGTGGCTGTGTTTTTCACTCCCCTGATAATCAATGATGCTGAACACCTTTTCATATGTTTATTAACCACTCGGATTTACCTTTTTGTGAATTGCCTGGTTAAGTCTTTGCCCTCCTGGGGATGGGTTGATAGCTCAGTTGGTTACAGCACAGCCTTGTAATACCAAGGTCAAGGGTTCAGCTCCCCGTATGGCCAGAAGCTGGGGGGGGGGGCAGTAGCTGCTCTTTTTTCTTTTGTTTTTTGTGGGTTTTTTTTTTTTTTTTTTT